ACAACATTTCATAAAATTTTGTAACATACATACGTTTATGTATTTATGACGCCATCCCATTGGCGCCGTCTTATTAACAAATTGTGAATTGTTTTATTGGGTTGAACTGCATTGCTGCAGTGTGCCATAGCATATATGTATGCCCCAAAAATATTGAAATAAGTACAGGGTGCGCCATTTTTTATGTCGGTATGTAAACATTGAATATCTTTGAAAATAAACAACCGATTTTCAAGTATGAGATATTTTTATTTAATTTGGTTCTGTACAATTTCTTCAGACTAATTTTTCAACACTGGTCTACTCAAGTCAATCGGTTCACTAATGACAAAGTTATTCAATATTTACATACCGACATAAAAGATGGCGCACCCTGTATATAGTGCTGGTCAACATTTTAGCCCAATCTGCCTTGCAACATACCCTTACACTTATTTACTCTTTACTTATTATAAGTATATATAAGGACTTATATTTGACTTAAGAGGAGCGTCTTCGTAAGTGCGGAGGGGGGTTGTAAGGGGGAGGAATCCCACAGGACTCGAATTTCCGCATATTGAAATATTTATGAACAACATTTTCCATTCGACCTACACCTGGGTATGAGATACCCACTGAATTACAGTACAGACAATCTTATGCATTAGACATGAAGAAAGGCCGCGAGTTCATACAGAGAATAAACAATTGCAGAAAGCAGAGTTGCAGAGATATACATAGCATGCCAATTTTTAAGCTGTTCTAGAAATTCAATCAATTCAAACTTCGGAAACACAAAAAATGTGAAAGACAGAATTAGAATTAAAGCAAACAGTCATTCGTATCCACATTAAGTTAAAAATGTTCGAATATAATCTTCTTTCTAAAATTTAAGATCTCTGCCATGCTGTTTGCGATAAGGATCCTTTGTATAATATGATAGAAGAGTATTAAAAAGGCTCTAATAAAGGACGATAATGATCAGTGCCAAGATACTAAACGTGGGACTGGCATTTTCTATATCTTTGCTTTGTCATGTAAAAAAAGATTAACATTTGTAGCTACATTTGTAACAAATGAAAACATTTCAATTAATTTTTATAGCCTGTACCCAAAGGATTAATAAGTTAGTGGTGGCTTATGCTTATCTAAATGTTTTGAAAATCGTTTCAGTCTTCGCAAAGGTCTAGCAGGAAGGAGTCCTCTTGCAAGCAAACTGCAGTGACTCAGAAGCCTGTCACTGTATCTACTTGTATGCCTTCCAATCTGCTCCTCCACGGTGAACAGGTTTAGGTCTCGGTGAAGGGTCGAGCCGCGCACATACCAGGGGCAGTTGGTAATTTGCCGCAATGCATGGTTTTGCAGGACCTAGGTGCGCTTATAATTAGATTTTGCGGCGATCCCCCAAATTTGAATACCGTAGAGCCATATCGGAGCTATGCAGTGGGCATAGACAGCTCTTTTTGCTCTAAGTGGCACAGTGCTCCTTCTATTTAGTAGCCATCGCAACTATTGAATTATTTGGCCACGTTTTTTTACCGTAGCTTTCAGATGTGGCCGAAAAGTGAGACGCTTGTCTAGGGTAATGCCAAGGTATTTAGCTTGCGCTGGCTGTTCTAGGGTTACTCCCTCAAGCTGAATAGGAGGCGTGCAGGGAATTAGCATTTTCAGCGTGAAGCAGGGGTTAGAGGTTTTCATGGGATTGACCTTTAAATTCCACCTAGTGCACCAAGCTGCCAGTTTATTGAGATAGCTCTGTAGTCCATCTGCTGCTTCTCGGTGAATGTATGTAACACACAGAAGGAGGCGTGGCAGACCCCACAAAGTATATATATTATTGATCAGGATGACAAGACAAGTCGATATAGCTATGTCCGTCTGTCGGTCCGTCCGTCCGTCCGTCTGTATGAGCGCAACGATCTCAGCAAGTACAATAGCTAGGATAACCAAACTTGGCATTCAGGTTCCCCTAAGCCCCAGGCAGATCGAGTTTGTGTTTTTTTTTCTGATTCAATTCGTGTTTTTCCTAACTCCGGTAATTCTTGGAATTTTGAACTCAAATTTGGCATATACATCCAGTTCGTGGTTATTTGTCCGTATGCCAAGTGTCATCATGATAGGTCCTGGTTCTGAAGAAAGTTATAGCCATAAATAAAATCGCTGCCATTGCTCTGCTTGCAGCGCTGCCCGCAGCTGTTTTTGTTGTTGCTGCTTTGCGCATATAAACACGCATAGGCACGTGATGTAAATGTATGCTGTTAAAACTGATCATAAACATGTCTTCTAAATTAATTTAATTAATTAATTCAATTTTTTTAAATCATTTAATTAAAAAAAAAATTTTTTATTTTTAATTTTCGTTTTTTGTGGAGAGTACAGGCTATTTTACTGTCGGACTTGCTCGACTGTAGCGTTCTCTCTTGTTTTCAATATATATTTTCATATGTTGCTTTTACCCTAAGTAAGTACTCAAGATACATTTTTTAATTGGATCGTCGCGACGAGGAACCATTTACCCTTTTGCCTACCGGCAATTCTGCATAATCTGAGCGATCAGTAGGAAGGTACATAGGTAGATGCGCCATCCGATTCTATTAATAAATAAACAATTTGGCAAGGCAGAATTATTCTAGCGGCAAATTCTAAAATTACACTAAATTCATCATTGCTGGAGCATTTTAATAATATATGCGTTTCAATACTGTATACATATTTATCTATCGTGAAATTTAAAAATAGTAATGTAGTTACTTTGTAATAATTATGCATCCATTAAGTCGACAAATTAAGCGTTAAAAATAATAGAATACGTTTAACCAATAATGGTTCCGACACGTTAGGGGAGTTTTTTTCGTCATTCGGCCTGGTATGCCCCGTTTCACAGCTCAATGCGATTTTAGATGTTAATAGACCTGACAAATAACATAACAAGGAGCATACGAGATTGTTACAGTCGAGCAAGCCCGGTAGTGATATACCTATAACAAAAAAAAAAAAACTGTGTTAAATACAAAAAAAGAGCTACTGCTTGTGTGAAAGAAATTGAGAGTGAGAGAGAAAGAGGAAGGTAGGGGGGCTTAGCACTTAGGTTTTGCTAGAAATTTAGAATAGAAGTAGAAAATAAAAAATTAAAGCGAGTGGAACGTCAGTCTGACTCTTGAATACCCCGTGGTACCCACCCTTATTCGGTTTAGGAATTCAACTACAAAAGACTTTATTGGACCAACCACTCGTCCAATATGATAAGACTCGTATGATAAGACTTCAGTTTATTATGGTAAGACACTGTTCAAAACTCAAAGGTACATAAATATGTTTTTAGACTAACAATTATAGATATAGGGGAAAAAGTTCCCGGTGGCGCGACCTATGTAAACCGTGGGCTTGCCACGTCTTCTGCTTGTTACATAAGGGCGTAGGCAGCTTTCAAGCTTTTCAGCTTGAGTTTTATTTTTGATCAAAAAAATAAAACTCAAAGAATAATCATTATTTTATAAGTTTTATTTTTTTGCTCTTCAATAATGATTATTGGTTAATTTTTAAAGTAAAACGAATGAATACAAATGAAAATTATAAATCATGGTGAAAATACATAGATAATCCTTAAAAAAGGATGTCAGTAAATTCCTCGCTTTCCAAAAGTTACTATAAGTGAATGATTTTTTCGTTTAAAAAAAAAACAAAATAATCATTATTTGCGGTCCCTGCTTTTTTGTTTCTCCTTCGGGGTCAGGGTATACAAATTTCTTTTATTTAACTTTGAGACAAACATTCCATTCAGACAAACGAACATACGGATGGACATGGCTAGATTGATTGTTCTATGATATACAACTATGTACAAGTATATTTAACTTTGAAACAAACATTCCATTCAGACAAACGAACATACGGATGGACATGGCTAGATTGATTGTTCAATGTTATACAACTATGTATATAATTTGTGGGCGTTTCCATTCGTTTTTACAAACATAACATATCGCTTTTGCCCTATTGGGTACATGGCATACAAATAAACCCAATAGTTAATAGAAGAAGTAACCTCAGTAGTAAATAATCGCCAATTAAGTTACCTAAGAAAGAAGCCAATCCAGTGTCGAAAGATTTATTAGCCAGTTCGGCAAATTGCATTTGTAAATGAGACGATTCTCAAGAGCAAAATGTGAGGGCGTATGAGTAATAATATATATATAGTATATATAGTTGTTTTGTTTTTTTTTTCCCAAACTCTCCTGAGAATTAGCTGCAGAAGCATTTAACCACGTGACAAAAGTGCAGGACCGGGCAACAAGTGCGAAAGCTTTTACTTATTATTGAAGGGCGCCCAGGAAAAGGATAAACACACATGTGAGACACACACACACACACACCCACTTGTAGAAAAGCTATAAACAAAAAGCCAGCAGCACCCCAGAACAAATTTCTCACAGCAGCCTCATTTGTCCAACGACACTTTAACGGGTTGGACGTGCTTTAGAAGTCGCCGCTCGCGTCCACCGCTCGTCCATTGTTTTCGTTTTCGTTTTCGTTGTCGTTGTCGTCGTTTTCGTTTGTGTTGTCGTCGCCGTTTCGTCGGCTTTTCGGCGTCGTCGTCGGCTGGTTGTGTTGTGTTGTTGTTGTTACTTGTAGTCGTGTGTGATTTCCGGCTTAGATAGTGCCGAGCTGGCTGTACAAATTTCATTCAGTGGCTGTCGCTCAACAGGTGCACAGAGCGTATCGTGAATGGTCGGAGTGCTCGACAAATCGAAAGTATAGTATAGTCGGATGCCTATGAACCCGTCGCGATTTCGTGAATTGTGATTTGTGCCATTGGCTTTTTAAATTGCCGGCGCCAGAAAGCCGCGCGCTCTGGAATATTGAAAAAGGTCTTGTGGCCAAAACAAATGAAAGAAAAAAATTGTTTGGCTGTTATTAAACAGCTGCCACAATAGCCGCGTGAGAAATAATGTTTGTTCGCAATTGTTGTTTACAAATAACATATAAGTGGCATGCAAGTTATTGATAGCATAAATAAGCGCTGATAATAGTGTGTTATTATCAATGAGTTGTGTGCATTATTCGCTATAGAAAAATATATAGTAAGACAACTATTTGAATTGTTTAAACAGATGCAGAAACCTCACTGATTGAAGCTTTGTAGTGGTGAGTGATATGCGATATCGTTACCTATTCATTACATGCGTTATTCATTCGTAATCAATAGCCAATACTTGACTATGAAATGTGCCAGTCAATTCACACATAACGCCGAATTGAGTTATTTATTAATTAGATTGTGCTGATGACCAGACAAATGCTATCAATCGCAGTAATTGAGTGCCTGATTCGGTGGCAATCCTTTCACGAGTGAAGTCGAGCTTCGTTTCAAAACTGTACTCCTTTCGTTCATTATGCTGCTGTCATATGCAGAAAAAATCAGCTGGATATCTTTTCAAAAGTCTGAGTGTCTGTATCTGCTGCAGTCACCAACATGAAAAAAGGGTGAAAAATTAAAAACGTGTAAAAACCAACATTTTTTTGACATACTCTACAAGTATAGTTTTACTCTGCTTTAACGAAAAAAGTTGTTTAACGACGTTTCTTTAAATTAGTATAAGTACGTTAAAGAATAGCAAATCCCTGCTCACTGGCTATTAAATTTCTGCCAATCAACATCACGCCCACTGATTAAAGAGTTAATTGGTTAAAAGGTTGAACAGAATGTTCTTATCAAAAAAAAAGTTATATATATATAGATTTAATGAGATTGTATTGTATTGTATGGCGTAATTATTTAGTTAATTACTGTTGGCAGCTACAGCGATTTGCTTTCGTTATACCCTGTGCCCAAAGGGTAATTTGGCGTATATTAGTTTCGTGCGAATGTTTGTAACGCAGAAATATGTATTCTTCATCAGTGTGATAATACGAGTCAGAAAACTCATGTTCGTCTTTCTAGCTGTGTGTGCTTTTCCATAACTCTCGTAATTCTTGGATGTGACAGTTCAACTTATAAGGAAGTTATAACCATTAATATAATCTCTGCCCATGATTTGTCTGCAGTTGTTGCTGCTTTGGCCTAACTCTGAACTGCACACATAGACACAAATGACCACACATAGACAAAGCACCGATATTAATTAATGACAATGAAACTGTACGTAAAAACATACTAATCTTAACGGTAAATGAGGGTATATCTGTTAAAAATGTGTAAGAGTAAGTTTATAACATGCGAGTGTATATATATATTAATCAGCATGACGAAACTAATCGATTCAGACATGCCCGTCTGTCTGTATGAGCCCCTGGATTTCAGAAATGGCTGAGCCCATATTAACCAAACAAGGTATGTAGACTCTCCTAGTATCTAGGAAATATGAGTTTATTTTATTGTTTATTTACCAATAGCATACATTTACAGCAGAGCTTGGACAGAGATTATATTTATAGCTATAACTTTCATCATAATTGACCTATCATGATGAAACTTGGACACATAATTTCTAACGGGATGTAATTTTCAAAACTGTAATTACTACTGGAGTTATGGAAAATCACGAATAGCGGGGGAGTGGGAGGTGTATCAGAATAAAAAAACAAACTTCGCCTGCCTTGGGCTTAGGGGAACCTGGATACCAAGTTTGGAAATTCTAGCTCTTGTACTTTCTGAGATCCTTGCGCTCACACAGACGGACAGACAGACGGACAGACAGACGGAAATGACTATTTCTACTTGGCTTGTCACCCTGATCAAGAGTATAATGAGAAAATAAAATAATAAAACTAACAAAAGTTAAAAACAATTTACAACAAATTATAATTAGAATTAATCTTAATAGATTAATTTACAAATCAGTAATATTTGTCTGATTTTTTGTAGGGGAACACAAAGTTGAACGCAAAACCAAATTGAATTAGAAAAGCAATAATTTGATTTGTTCAGTTAATGAGTTAATGTTCTGTGTAAATTAAGTGTTAAGTTGGGTAAGATATACCGAAAATAAATTGATCGCAATAATTCAGTTTTTTGTTACAGCTATACCTTTAGCTAACTTATCAAAAAAGGGTGATAGCAGGTATTAAAATCAAAATATGAAACTGTCTACTCTCTAATGAAATACTCGTAAGCCGTATATATAGCCACATACTTATTTGCAGCTTTGATTGAACACATAAGCTATGAAGCTCTCGATTCGAAAAGTAAACAGTAATCCAGTGAGACTCTCACGATTTTTATCAATCGTATACATTTACGGTTAGTAAATTAATTTTATTGCACTAATTAGACAGTCATGTACGGCTAAACATGCACGCAGGAACACACGCAGATAAGCAAATGTTTGCGATGGTGTGGGCGTACTAGATTGCAGATTGCTGAAGTATTTTTATTTTCATTAGATTGCCATCAAATAATTGTACAACAGCTTGGCGAGAAATCACATGAGCCAAACTAAGTACCATTACTAATGCTCAACAAAACAAAAAAAAAAAAAAAAAAAAACAAGAGAGAACGCTACAGTCGAGCCAGCCTGACAGTGAAATACCCTGTACCCAGGTAAACTTCCGTCACTGAGCTATATGCGCTCATAGCAGAAGTAAAACGAGGAAGAAGAAGAGCGAACTTGTTGCTGCACTTTGTGGGGGTTTTACTGGCGAGAATTTGTTTCGCTAACTTTTCTTAGAATTGACCGAATTAAAAAAACAACAGTAGATAATTATATATATATATGATGTGTGCAAAGTTTGGTTTAGGTAGCATTTGAAATGTGGACGCTATTGACGAAATTCTGTAGCGAGGAAAGGAGGGGGAAATTAAAAAAAAATAAAATAAACTCGTCCTTTCTCGGACCTAGGAGAATCTGGATGCCAACTTTGGTTATTCTAGCTTTTATAGTTTCTGAGATCCTTGCGTTCATCCAGACGGACGGACAGACGGTCGGACATGTCTAGATCGATTTCTCTCGTCATGCTGATTCAGAATATATATACTTTATGGAGTAGGAGATGCTTCCTTCTGCATGTTACATACTTTGCACAAACCTAATATACCCTTTGTACCCTACGGGTACAGGGTATACCAACTGAATGGATAAATATAATCTAGATCGATTTGACTCGTCATTTCAGTCATATGAGAAGTATACAATAAAGTATATATAGTACATTATGAGGTCAAGAATGTTTTTTCTTGTATGTTACATACATTTGCTTAAACCTTATATATCCGTTCACCCTTTGGTAAAAGGGTATAAAAAAATGTCCGTAAATCGACACGAGTGTGTTTGCCGTTGATTATAAGGCCTATTATTAGATTGGACTGTCAGCAATAATAATGCACAAATCCAAATTAACAAAACAACACATGTGTAGAATATAATAAGACCTAAAATATTAGCTACTGAATTATTCGAATGTTCATTTAATGAGCATGATTTGATTAGTTAAGGAGATGCGAGCAGTAACTAACTGTGGAAATACGAGTACAAACAGTTGGAAGCAAATAAAGCCATTTATAATAAATGGGCCAACAATGAAGAACTAATTACAAAACAGTTTGAAAATATAACAAGTTCTAAACTCCGAAACAAGGACTGTTTATTGTTGTATTAAATTGTTGTTAGTCTTGACGACAGAGTCGAAGAAGAAATTTTCGAGTCCTGATAGAGACAGATATTTCGGGGTCAACAAACGTTTTCAAGTTCAATTTGAATGATTCGATTATATCTTAATGCTAGCATAGCGTGCAATTTGTTTTTAAAAATTACAAAAACTAAGCATGTTATTAAAAAAACTCATTAATAGATAGAAGCTTAGCTGACATACATGGCTTAGTGAAAACTGCATACCCCACTTAGAATAAACTCCCAAATAAGGTGCGTTTTTCTTCTAATAATTAGAAGCTTCAATCCTCAGTTAAGTTCTCTGACACTCTAACACCAATAACACTTGTGAGTATTCAGTTGACAGAGTTCCCACGTTGTCCAAAATGAAATGTTTCCAATATTGCATTTTTTGGGTGTTGTCTTTTAGTGATGCTATTAACCATTCAAATAAATAAAGTATCGGGAGAAAACTACACTTCTATATGCAAATTGTTAGTCATTGGTTAAGACTTATTGTAATAACTTTTGTGTATTTGCGCTTATTCAAAATTAACTCTTATAATATTTAACTACTAATATGCATCCAGGCTCTATATCTAAAATGAAAAAGTAATACGATTAAGTAACAAAGCAGGCGTTAAGTAAAGTAATTGTCAACTATTAAAAAAGCTTAGTTAGAAATGTTAGTATAACTTATCCACTTCTTTATGAAGACGTGGTTACGAAAAACTATAGGAAATCTATTTGTAATACCTTTTGGGTCTTAACGTTTACATATAGTACATCAGAATGATGCCATAGTACCTTTTGGATTTAGATTGTAAATTCATTTGATAGACTTCAATGACTGCTTTAAATAAACATCAAGTCCTTTTAGAGGCGCAACTTTGAAGTAGGTAGAACTAATTGAGTAGCATCTGTTAAAGGTAATTGCTCAGAAAGCAATGCATGCCACTTGATTCACCATTGTTCTAAATATCAATTAGTGGACAATCGTAATGAGCTTGTCTGCGCAACAGGTGTTAGAACTTTACTTAGAAAAAGCTTTTTGTTCTGTTGTTGTTCTAGTGTCAACAGGCAGGATAGCAGGAAGCACAGAGTGTGTGGATGTGAGTGTGTGTGTAGCAACAATTTGTAAATGAAAAGTATATAAACATGTCTTTTCACTTATGCAGCACGTATTTTATTTTATTTGTAGTCCCTCTAATGATTTTTTTATGTTTCAAGCAAAAACAAAAGCTGCACGTATTCATTTTATTTTTAGTCGGAGGAGTGACAAAGGAATGTAAGTATGTTACGTGCAGTCCTTTTCCAATGCTAATATTCAGAAATTTTTTGTATCAAGCAACAAGAAAATCTACCTGTTTTTTTTATTATAAGCTTGTTTGCAATCAAGTCTGCATGGACGTTTTTCTAGCTTGTGATATTTTCGTAATTGAAGATAGAGAGGAAGTTCTAGTTTTCTATAAGTTTAAATTACAATAACTGTCGCAGGCAAAAAGGTTGTTGTTCCGCCCGGAGTGAAAGTGATGAGACCAGCTTTGCGAAGTACTCGTAGCTGCCACTTCAAAGGCAGAAGCATACTCAAAGCTCAGTTAATGCAACTGACAAAGTGCAGGCTCCTGCCTGGTAGGTGGTAACTCCCTGGACCTCCTTGCGTTTCGCCTTATTTTAATCTCAACACAGTTTTTTATAGCATGCTAATGTAATTTCTTTTGCCAATACCTTTGACATTTTACGCAACAGTTTCAACTTTTTGAAAACTATACTAACATTTACTTTGTATATGTATGTATGTATTTAGAGCTATTGGTTGATACGACTATACGATATTATATGTTTAGCAATTAGCAGCAATTAGTACAAATTGTATAAAAATAGCAACAGGGCCAGTTTGGCGAGCATTTGAAATTTTTAACACTTTTGGTTAGATGCGCGAAAAACAAGAAACAATAGCCACTCATGCATGTGGCAAAAAATAATCAGCCTGCCATACAAACACACACACGCACACACACACACACACATGTGTATATCTATTAACTTATTTATGTGAAAAATTCAATTCACACACACAGCAAAATTCAAGCAGTCTGAGCTGCTTTTGATATTATTGAGTTTTATTTCTGCGCTTTCATTACAGCCATTATCATTGACAATGGAAATAAATTATTGCCAGGCTATAATTTGAAACATAGCTGTAATTTTCATTTCAAATGTATATGTGTGTGTAAAGGAATTTGTAATGAAAATTATGGAATGTACAACTCAATGAACTAGTCCAAGGCTAAGGTACGATTGGGTCGAGTGTGCGGACGTCGCTTTAATCCTATTTATTTAAAGAGATTATGTTTATTAAAGGCATGTGGACATCAATTACTCATCATCGAGTGACTTTGTTAGTAAATTGAAGGATTTTCGAATTTTGGCAGCAAACTTGAGAGTCTGGAGCTGACAACTTAAGCTTCGCAAATAAAGTTCTGTTTGCCTTTAATTTGTGCTTTTCATCGAGAAATCGTTATAAGTGTGTAAGTCAAGCGAATTTATTCTGCCCGAGTTGGCAACTAATTTGATGTTTGCTTCAATTTATTTTTAATACTTCGCTACAATGCCGGGGCATCAGAAATTACTGGGACAATGAATTGAGCTGTCATCCCCAAATAAAGAAAATAAATATTGAATGACGACATATTTACTACACACACGTACTCGTACAGTACCTATGTGGGCCCTACGGCGTTTTCGAAAACAAATTTAAGCTCCTTTTGCAGTAAAATTATTTATGTACATTCATCTTTTTTTTCGGGTATTGGTAAAACTCATTTGGCCCGTAATTGGTAAGGAATAAAGGGCTTCTTGGTAATAAGGAAGGCATATTGCTGAAAGGTGTGTGCTTTTCTTAATACCCGTGCATGGTAGCCGTTAATAATTTATTTTCATGCCGGCTTAAATTTCGGAAAATAAACTGCAGCATCACCTGCGCGCCTGTTAGCAAAATAGTTATAAATAGTGTGGCAACATGGCGTATGATTAATTAATGAACGTAGCTTTGCATTGGAAAGACTGCAGATGAGTCGTAACTTGATTTCATAACAGAAAAAACATAATTTTAATTAAAATACGAGCATACGTACCAAATCTAAAATTACAATTAATTAATCTTAAACATTCATTCAAATTCAAACTCATTAATTACGAATGTAAAAGGATATACCCTGTCCTAATAGGCAATATGGAAGGTAGTATTTCATTTTGTTTACTGCCTTTATATGCCAGTATTTAAAGAATTATTTTCATGCTGGCAGGCTAATGAATTTCTTAAAATAAACAAAATCAACCCCTGCGGGTATGTAATAAAAATAGTTCAACAATACGTTATGGTGTGCTTACATGGCGTATGAGTAATTAATGTTGTTAGCCTCGCGTTAGGCGTAACTTGATTTTACAGCGAACGAATCCTAATTACCAAACAGACATCCTATGCTACGCTTTAAAGTGAAGCCTTGCATGATTAAGCCTGAACTTTAAATCAATATACCTGACAATGAAATAAAATTAAAGCAACTACTTATTTATGTGCCTCTAAGGTCGCATTTATTTATTTTAAAGTTTTCGGAGTCATTGACTTAGTTGTAGATTTTTTTAAGTTGGGCCCCAAGGCCTTAAATTTCCCGTCATCCGAGATAGTGTTTGAGTATCACAATTCATTATAGCTTGAGTGCAAAAATCAAATGAAAAATGGTTAAGGTGTATAGAAGCAGTACGTAGACAAAAATAGAATAAAATAGAGCAGATTACAATGTAAGATTAACGCTTTATGTTTGGATGCACTCTTGTATGCATCAGCGATGACCTCTTATGATCCTTGAAACAATCTTATTTTCATTTTTATTCTTATTCGATGCGCTTTTCATCATTTTACATATCGTTGTTCGACATGACAAATTGCCTTTCCCGTTCAAATATTCTTCAATTCAACGTGACAGCAATCAAGCAATTGATCTTTGATTATCTGTAGTCCTATTATGTAAATTATGCGAAAAATTTGGCTAATACGCACGTGTCTAGATTACCTTTCAATTGTTTATATAGGTCGTTAAAATAAGCAATATGTGCAAACAAAGCGCAGAATTGGATTATGTACTATAATGTGGCAAATGAAAATAGATATTTGCTCAATTGATTTGTTTTGTTTGAAAATTCGATGGATAGCTCTTATGATTAATGCTAATAAATCCATTGCGTCAAGGAGGCACAAACAATGAACACACAATCACAGCCTTATGACGTAAATGACGAAGCTACTGGAAGGCACGACTTGGCCAATAACCGTACGCAAAAAGTTTCATTGAAACTTTTGCAGTTAAAAGCAAAACTCAGCCGACAAACTAAGAGCGTAATAAGTTCCATGACTACATGAATCCTTATTGCGGCCCAAAAGGCGTCGTTAACTTGGCCATATTAGTGTAACTAATTTGCCGACATAGCGCGTTGGTTAATCAATTGAAAGTTTGCTAATTGACTTGCTGGTCTCTCAAGCGTCAGCCGCGGCTGCCATGGGCAATGAATTTTTAATAGAAAAGGCACATTTAAAAAAAATACTTAACCTTTACTGTTAGACGAAGTCCAATTCATTCACGTTTTACCTTTAAATGTCACACATCATGTTTTAAGCTATAGTCAGTGGCTGGCGCTGTTTAGTAATCCATTTAAGATAGTAAAAAGGATTATAAAACAGTGCCGAACTTTGATTTTAGCGTGCGACCGATGCGTGACATTTAAATGCCAAACGTCAGTGATTGGACTTTGCCTAACAGAAATGCTTAAGTGCTTTTCTTTTATATTAAATTTAAATTTAGTTTGTTGCACATTTTGGGGATAAGCAGAACTATTCAATACCTTTCCTAATTGTTAATATCCAGAAGAAGTTCTGCATGAACGAAAATATATCGCGATAGAATAACCAAACCTATTTCTTCCGTTTCAAGTTCAAGACAGAATCCGATACGCACAGAGTAAGAGTTTTTGTTTTAAAATAAAGTAATATTTCCAGTATCCACACAGCACATACTATTAGTTCTCACTTGTTTAATTTTTCTGCCCAAAAACATGTTTTGCAATAATGAATTAAAAAGCTATCAAAGAACAATTTGCAGGCAAAAGCTTTTACAACTTTTTAATTAAAAACAAATCAAATGATGATTATAGCATCTTGGATTGTTGCGAATAAGCTGAAAAAAAAACATAAGCAAGTTAATTTGAGACACATTGTGACACTGATTGAATCAAGCTGTACAAAAGACTTTATATACCCTGTAACTGGGGAAAAGAAGCATCTCCGAGCCCATAATGTGTGTACAAGTATATTCTTGGTCAGCATAGTCCGTAGGCAACACGATTTTTTTTTTAATCACCCCCTTCCCCGCTACAGAATTTCGTCCCTATTGCCTATAATTTTAAAGCTACATGTAGATGAAACTTTGGACACCTAAAAATCAATAATTAATACTCTACTTTCGCTTCAAATTTCATCTACATGGGTCAAGAAAAGTTAATAGCGAAACTATTTTCCTCCAGTGCTACGGCCTCAAACTGTAGGAGGTTTTAAAGTGGCAGAAGTTTGTATGGGTATAGGGTATATTATTGTCGGACTTGCTCGACTGTAGCATTCTCTCTTGTTATAGTTTAAATTTGAATAATATTTCCAGCTTATGAATCGATATTTTTACAATTCCGAAATGCTACAACATTGCATAATTATTGAAATTAACAATGCCACCTGAAATTTTCCAAATACCAAGTTGAGTAACCTCGAAGTATGTAACTGTTGGCAACAGTTTAGAGTTTATGCAATGGATTAAACTAATTGTGCATAAAAAGTCAGGAAAACAGAAGTTGTTAGCTTTGCTCCGATTTCTGCCAAATGAATGCATTTTGCGAATTCAGTGGAAACTGAATGCTGTAAGTACCGGATTCTCAGAATTCCTGCATTTAATGGTAATGGGAGGATGGGTGAACAAAGCATTTTAATGAAATAATGAATCTGCAGAAATTTTTCAAATTGCGATTATTTGAATAAGCATAAATGACATTCAGACGTGGAAATAGAGTTTTCTATTGCTACTTGCCATATGCTTCGGAAAATAAATTTGTCAAAGTTTGTTTGTATCGGAAAATTGGATATAATTTTATTTTTGTAAACTTATGTCAATTTCGTGCCAATATGAACCCGATTTGTAAGGAGGACATCAATAGCTATGAGTGTCAGAAGTGGATGGCGGAAGTAGTCGCACGTTGCCGAGATTTGTTTGCCAATGAACCAGCTGATGCATGGCCCGCTTGGTGGCATGATCCCAGGCCCGCACGCTTTAAGTCGGATATCAGACTAATGACTGCGTACGATTGCCACAAGCTGAAGTCGGCACTTGAGGCTGAAGTGGCTGCCTTAGTGCCGGTGCGTATACCCTTGATAGAGAGCTCTAAGGGCGTTCCCTTTCGATGGTGGCAGAAGGTACTGCTTATACTTATATACGTTGGCATTATTTTGGGACTCTTGCTATTCATTCGTTGGTGTGAAGCGAAGAGAGTTCCCCAATGGGTGGAGCTTGTCAAAGATGAAGGCCATCCGCCAGAGACAGCCTCAGTTCCAAGTAAGGACTCGAAGACTTCAGAGCACCGTAAGCACATGAACAAAAAGTCGTGGATGCGGCACAAGTGTCGCCGGGTTTTTGTTCATAGCGAGACAGAGTTGCAGCAACAGCGTCGCAGGAATGAGGAACGTGAGCGCGTTCGTGAGGCCCGCACGCAGCGCAAAGTCATGAAGTGGACACATCCCAGTGACATACCTCAGGAGACTCCTGAGCAGACACACTCTGACCGGGATGGTGCACAGACCAATGCTAGATGAATGAATTAGAAAATACCGCTGATGGTTGGAAATGCAATGCCTTGTTGGTTTATTATTATTTTAGAGTATACAATGAAATATTAATAAACTTTTGTCTGCTCCCCACCTAAATACTTTATTGCTTCAATTTCCGCTTCTTCAGTTCGCGCTCCAAGCGCATGTCGGCAATGTCCTCCTTGCGTCCTAGGCGCTGACTCATCTGCTCTTCACGTTGTACTTGGGCAAAAGTGGATTCCATGTTGCTCAGATCATCGTCGGAATCATCTCGGTAGCGACGCTTGTCGTAGCCAAAAATATCTCGAATGTGTAGGGAAACGTTCTCCAGCTCTCTCTCCTGTCCTTCCACAATAAAGTCGCTCATATCTTCCTCATCATCATCATCATCATCATCTTCGTCCTCGACTTCATCGAAGAGCCTGTTCGAGCTCTTACTGCCAATACGCTCCTTAACCGAGGCACAATGACGGCGTTGCTCTGTGGGAAAAGACAAATTGTTTTTAGATTTGAATCGATTAACATATCTATGAGGAAAAATTGAACCGACTGCAAGCTAGTAGAATGGGAATTCAATTTGTATGGATGCTTACTGAATTGCTTGTAGAATCCTTCCCGCTCCTTTCTTGCCACCTCCTGCATGCGCTTGCGTTCGCGACGCTTCCGATCAGCAATCTCGCGTTTTTCTTTTGCTGTCATTAGACGACTCATTCTGGGAGTTTTGAGAAATGTTGTTAGTTTTTAGAATTGTTGCCACTGGCTATGATTTATTTAAACTGATATGTTTGTGATGTTTATTGCTTTCGTTTTGACGCAAAACTCCTTGGTGTACTTTGAAAAATATAGTCATTGTATTTATAAGGTTAATTTCAGGCTTTATTGGCCAGAAATATGAACAAATGTTATTTGTATACTCTGTATCCGAAGTCTTAACAGCACATGCCTCATGCCTCATATACTACACTATAATATGTCCATCATAATGAGTTGAATCGATATAGGCATGTCCGACTGTCCGTATGTATGAGCACTACTATCTTTTGAACCATAACAACTAGGGTTCGGTGGTATGGAAACTTGTCTAATCCATAAGCAGAGCAAGCTTAATACAAACCATATATTGGCTTATATAGGCTTTCGTCGGACAGATCAGCTTAAAAAGCACTCTTGGTACTAAAATACTAATAATACGTTTCTTGTAGTGCTTCAATATTATCCGAAGTTTCAAATCCAAATGATCTGCTCAATAATCACTCTTACCACTAAGAACGTTCTTGTTTTTGTGAGATATCGCAACCAAATGTGTTATTTTAAAGTTTTTATAGAGCATAATCATGCCTATAGCTTCCTTAGGAATGATCCGAACAACAAAAGGTATTTTGGTAGCGGGAAAAACGTACAAAATATTTAAGAGTTAGACTGGTAGGAGTTAAACGTCATACTTGTTATTAATACATTCATATAGATAATATAGGAGTGATAGTGCAGAGCAGGAAAATAGTGGATTAAGTTGGTTCTATTTTTGGATTTCTTTTCGAAATCCTGAACCGCAAGTCTTGCATATTTGATTGAATAATAAAATATTGAATCCCTGCATAAAATTGTTCTCTTCTTACTTCTATATTTAGTAACCATGAGCAACAATTTTTATATTTTTATGTAATGAAAACAGAAAACAAGTATTAGAAGCATTATCAAAATAAAAACCACGTAGAATTTTTTTCCACAGACAAAGAGAAATCCGTTCATTATATCTGATTGCTTGATTACTTATTTGATATTGCCTTAGATGAATTCAGCCATTTAGGCTTTATGTTGGTATTCTTAATTCAAGAGTTCTTAATTAAAAACGTATTAATCAAAACCAAAAAATTTGGGGTAAAAAAGGAAATGAAATGAAAATACAATCAACTGCAACTTTCTATCAAAATATTAAGTAAATGGATGCTAAGCTAAATATGTTATGATTAAATGGAGTTACATTGAACATATATGGACGCTGGCAAGTCATAGCATTTGTTGTCATTCGCATTTGATATAAAGGTATAATTTGCCATTAGCCAACCATGACAGAACAAATTTGACATTTCATGACAAATTCATTTGTTTGTCGAATTTTCAAGTCATGTTAAATATGCTGCTAATTAAATTAGCATCGATTTACGGTTCAAATAAGACCAACAGACGAGACCAGACCAGGCCAGACCAATAAAGTGGTAAGAAATTCGACTAACTCCACATATAGTATAGCCATTGTCAGTTGACAAACTAACCGCACTTATGAAAAAATGCCGTGCGGGCCAATTAAGTCATAGATAAAAAAGCATGTGTGTGCATACATACATATGTTCAGACGATGTGCACATAATAAATGTTATCAAAAATATAAAAAGGGGAACAAAACAATGAACTGTGCACATATTTATGCCATGCAAATATTTGTTAATTAAAACTGGAAACCGGGCGGGCACTTGTTGGCGGCATTTTTCATTAATTTTCATTGTTATTTGTTTGGTGCCGGGACTTGGCTGTGACTGTGATGCTGAAGCGGATATGTATATATATATATTCTATACCAACATACTATACATATGTATATTCTAGTGCTGAGTATGTATAAACTGGACGCGTGCTGTTGTCATTGCGGCCATTTGTGGCACTCAGTGCCCCAATGGGGCAACTACAATTGCTCGTTTCATTGCGTCCGTATGCTGTGAGTTTGGCTTAAATGACAATTAACTTGTGCTAAAGTAATTGCTCTCCTAATCACTCCTCTAGTACTTTTGTCAGCTTAATGTTCTGTAGAAATTATTTACGCTGTCTTTCTTAGCCAGCTATTGTTGTGTTGTTTGTCTTGACGAATTTTCAATCCACTTAAAAACTTGAGTAGCATCTTGTTTGTTTCCTGCAGATTATAAAAGTGGTAAGATAACTTTCCACTTAGCGTCAGCTTCAACTGTCAACTGCCAATCCTCAGCTTGGGCTGTGATTGTTGAGTGATTCCTACCGCCATTTCAAATAGCTAATATATCGATAAATCGTGTGTTGCCATTTTTTCTTTTGTCTGCAATGGGAAAGGTTGTATTCTTGTTGTAGCACTTAAAAGGATGCGTGCCTAATACACCATGAAGCACGAGTAAACATATATGTATGTATGTACATGCGGGTACATGTCCGGATTTGTATAAGAACCAGAGGGTATACATACATACATAGGTACATAGACATACATATGTATGCAGCCAAGATTATCAACTTCCACAAATTGTGCGCATTTGAATGCTCAATTCTTAAAGGTTTCTAATTGTTTATGCTACTTTTTTCATTCTTTTTAGCTGAGCTTATGTACAAGTATGTATATAATGGATTTTGCATAAATCCAAATTATTTCACTTTCAGTGATTCCCCTTTCAAGTCGCTTCTTTTGAGCGTCCATTTATGCAAACGATTTCATGTAACTGTACTTTGCATAATCGATTTAGCTTTACCCTCATGTTATTTAACGATAAAAACGCAAATTAATTGACACACTGAAAAAATACAATTTAACAAGATTCCATGTTTAACGATATATGCGATGCGTAAACCAAATTTCAATACTCTATCGAAAAATAAATGTATAAAAGTGAGACTGAAAAACTCGTCAATGGAGCACTAAAGATGATAGTTTGTAAATTGTTCTGCTGTTCACTTTTCAGCAATTGATGTACAATAAAGTAATTTTGTTTTAACCCAAAAATATTTGTTTTAATTCTGAAATTTAGGTTATTATTCTAATACATGCCTTATCATAAACCGATTTTAGTATATTTTGTTCTTAAAAAAGTAGTTGTAATAGGACTAGCGTACAATGTTATTTTAATTATAAAATATTTTGTTTAATTTGTTGTGCTACTTCTTCTCACTGCCTGTCTTGTACATATTGATAATATAGTTCAATATTGTTTTAATCAATTATGAATACAAATATGTAATTTAGTCCTCTTATATACAGCTCATCTACAGGCCACAGCGAGTGTTTACACTTTTGGAAATTCTAGTCAACTTTTGTCTCTATTTTACATTTAAAATTGATTTATGCTTTTAATTTACATATTTTATCATTAACTATGGTATGGGTATACATGGTAATGCTAAATATTTAACAATTGAATCGGTCGAGTAGAGACATATTATTGAAGGAAAGGAAACAGGGGCTAGTATGAACGTAGTAAGAAATTATCCTAAATTATTCTAACACGAATATAGAAGTGTAGTCAGATCAATCCTCTGCAATAACTTTATCAGCTCTTCTCATTATTTGTGCAATAACTCCTCCGCAATAACTTTATCAGCTCTTCTCTTTTTATATGTGCTTTAGAAAAAGTAACATTGTTGAAAAGTTTTATTTTTATAGTTGGGAAAGTAGGATATGATCGGGTATATAAATATATAGCAGTTGGATAGTTTTCTCTTTGTGTGGACTTGCTTTTCATTTTGTAACTTTATTTTCTGTCAGCCTTACATATTTTAGACACAAATTAGATGAACATACTTGGAATATAAGCTTGTACTGCTTATTGTTTAGAGGAATATGAATACCAACTTTGATTTTCCACCACTTTCATACAGCGGGAACATAACTCTTTTTATGATTGCCTCTAGCATACTTTTGTGGAGGTGATGTGTTTGTTTTTCGGATGCACTAGTGCTAGACGTTGGGTTTCCCACGATTTCTCATCCATTCATGGCTTACTCACACATTTCGAATATTACAGATATTTGCTTACCTTTACAGATTAATAAAAAAATCAGAATATGTACACGTGCCGTATTAAGACAACTTCTTTATATGGAACTACTAATTTTCGAAATGATAAAAATTAACAAAACACTTAGCCGAACACAACTAAAAATAAACACAAATAAGTTATAAAAAATATTATCGCAGCTCGCGTGACTTTTGGGAATTATTAAAAAAACAATGCTATGCACACAAAGCTAAAAATAGCATCGACTCTTTTTTACAATTGCAGGCGTTAATAAGCAAATTACATTTTTTACAATATTTGCTTGCCCACAACGCAAACAGTTTGTTGCCATTATGCTCAATTCGAAGGCAAGTATGCTTTGGGAAAATAGCACGGGTTGAGTTACCTGATTCAATGTCCTAGGCCAAAAAGTAAAAAATATGAATTCGGGCAGATGGTCATATTCAGGTTTGAATTGAAAAAGCCGGGCCATAAAAAAATATATTGCCCCAATGTGGCGACTGGGGAACCCATAAATAGACCCGAAAGGAAATGCACATGTGCTCATCTACTTGCATATATGCTGAAATTTGCATTTTATTCTGTTTCCCTCCATACATACTTATTAAGTCGGCAAATAAAATTCGTTTGTAGATTTGCGCGTAATTTGCATCTTTAAACAATTTCAGTGAAGATGCGGGGCATTTGCATTTGTTTTGGCTTTCATTCTCATACCCCTCCTTATATACTATATTCCTTCTTTTTTGATTTTGACTTTTTCGTTGTCTGTTTGTGTTAATTTTGTATTAATTTAAAAATCAATCGAACACGCGTCTGTTCGATGTGCGTGCAATTTCAATTCACAGCTTCTTTGTTTGCAGTTGGGTGCAAAATTTTTGCGACTTTGCTATATTTATGCGAGAAATATTTCAGTAAACATCTTCATAGTTTTCTCTCACGACGTCTGCCAAAAAACTTGACTATATGAATCGATAAAAATTGGTTTGAGGTAGTGTGCTAATATGCTCGTAGTTAGGTTAGATTACTTCATTAAAACTGTGTAAACACATTGAATACTGATAGGGTGGAGCCTATTTTGCAAAAAAAACAGAAAAACTTTTGTAGGAAAACTCTGCTACATTGGGGAATAGAAATTATGAATGAGAAATAGGTGATTAAGATGTGGTAAACGAAATCCTTTAGGCCGATATAATACAGACAACGAGAAATCAAGTGTCTGAAACAGTATTTGAACATAATTTCGATCTGCATTGATGCGAGACGATTGCTTGTCAGTTTGTCTGCCCTTTTAACAAATTTTGGAATGCCTAGAAACATTCGTTGCTAAATTTTCTTAACTTCCGTCATCAATGGTTGTTTTTGATACTCAGCAGTCTGTTGTCAATATCTATTGGATGAGTTCCATATCCTCCCAGCCCTAACTATTTCAACAGCCATTATTGTTTTGGTTGTTCGTTGATGAATAAAGGCATCACATGAGTAACTACGAGCATACATAAATGCATTAAAATTGTACTTTGTAACCAATCAACTGTGAATGATATTAATTAAATTTATATTGTTATACGCAATTCACTTTTTCTAGCTCGATAACCGAATGGTGCCAATTGCTATTAAAGGTATACGGTAGTTCTTGTAGTTTTTTTAAAACTGAATTCAATACCATCGAGAAAAGAGAAAAGAGTATTTTTTTTTTGGTTCAGAAAGGACCTTTCTTGAAGATATTCAAACAACAGTTTTTGTGTAGTATTTACTTTATATATACACGAGAGGATTAAGAAAACTAATTTGAGAATTTAGTTTGTTTGCATTGTGATTAAAGCTTCTTCGTATTTGGCGAGCACTTCATATGTTGTTTCTTTTTGCAACTAGCCGTAAATTAAATTACGCTGCTTACATAATAAGTATAATTCGTTGCCAGTTGCGTGAATTTACTGCTAACAAAAAGTTAGATAACAACATAAGATACAAAAACTGTAGGTCGAAGTTTTTTGAATGAAATTTGTTTAATTTTATGCTTGGTAAAGCCTCACTTTTTAATTGAAATATGTATGTACATAAATTAAAATGGCAATTAATTGAAAAATTCCAACTTTATTTGCAGGAGCAACAGAGATTAGCAGAAAACAACAGCAAAAGGACTAACAAAATGTGCCAGTATAAAAACAATTTCTGTCAACTCGGTAACCATACAAAGATAAAGATAGGAAAACTACAATGAATCCCATATTCACACGCTGATGTCTCTGTCACAAAGACAGGCCCAGTCACAATAATAGCAGCAAGAACAACTATAATACCCAAAGGGTCAGCTGTAAATAGTGTACGGCTAGCCAACATGAACTCCATGGCAACTCAACGTCAGAGAAATTTGTTACCTCTCCTCATATTCGTCTGTTTGCTGGGACATTGCGTATACGTCGAGGGTGCCAAGGCTAGCAATTGCCTCGACCGTCACAATGGCTTTAACAGTTTTCCAACACATTCAGTCAACACGTTGACAGCGACACCACCAAGTCACCAACCCAATAAATCTGACTTGCCAATACCACAGACCACATCGCCAGTGAGTACCGTCTCTGGGTGGCGTTGTTGTTGCTGGAATGCAAGCAATCAAGTAAGTGGTAGATGATCTGCTTATTCCATTCAAGCTTCGGGTATATAAAGTATATCTGGACGTAGACAGACTGCAGAGATGGACAGTGTGGACAGTCTTTTATTTGGGTACAAAAGAAACCAATTAATATTGCTTGTGGATTAAAATATGGTCATATGTAAGAGATGCTTAAAGAAGAGCTGATAGTTTAATGAATTATATTTAGTTTAGACTTATTCATAAACCTTCATCTTTTAAGAAAAACTAAAGTTATTTGAAATTTTGTAATTCTATTTCTTTATTCCCGTTACTGACAGATACAGTTAAACGAATATACATTTTAAAATTTAGTTCATTGAGCAATTCTATTTTTCTATTCCCTTATGTTTTTGTGATTTGATTCTTGTCACCAATATAGCATATATGTATTTCAGTCGTGTTTTAATGTAATGTGAAGGAGTTACTTTTCAATAGAAATGAAATTTAGTTGCCAGTTGCACAGTTTAACAGTGAAAACTTTAATAGGAAATATGTATGTATATTGTAATGACTGCAAGAGTAATTTTGTCCAACTACAAAATGTAAATATTTACATTTAAAATACTATAAAAAGTGAAACTTAAGTTTATAATACATCTATTTTAAATGCGAAGTAAATTCCACAATTTTTTGCGTGCTGAGATTAAATTAAATTGAAGATTAAAGTAAAATATTTTCTTTTCGTCAAACGAAAAATCAGCGAGATTTTCAATAATTATAAAGAACTCAAAATCGATATAGAAATGTCTGATTAGAGCAATAGCTTTAGAACCATAATAGCTAGAAACTTGGTTTGTAGATTTATCTTATTCATATGCACATTAAGATTTTTGTTATTTTTTACCTTGTGTCTTATTACTTGTGTCTGTATTAAGCTAATCTAAGAGAATTTTGGGTATTTACAAGTTTTCTATACTGCTCCAATATAACCCTAAGTTTCATCAAAATCGATCCAGTTTATCATATTGGTGCCATCACTGATAGATCGGTAGAATAATGACTGCAATATTAAAATAATATATCCTGACAAATCAATGAGCTATATCATATTCAAGTAGCTTAGGATTGATTAGTACAATTCGGTGGGTAAAGAGTATTTAAGAGTCGGGCTTGCCTTTAATGTTCTACTCGTTCATTGATTAGCAATGAGTTGCAGTGTTCCTGGGGCATGACATGATACGAAAATAGTAACATATGATTGAGTTATGTGTTTTAAAATGTACGGCTAATGGAGCGCCTGTTTGCTTCCACAAACAATTCTTCGAACAGCAACCGACTGGTAGGAAAATGTAATTAGGAGCGAGCACTTTGTGGCGAATTTATTTAATTAAAGTCGGGCAATTTTGTTAGGAAGCAGAGGCGCATATGGAAACAACTTTCTAACTGAAACTAAGCTAAAACAAGTGAACCTAAATTTTCTGGCAAAACAGATCGAATTAATTTGTTGTCAGCCTATCATAATGCAGTCACTATATGCATACATGTAAATCTAAATATCCACTTAACTCCCACAGAATGAGGTTGAGTGTCGTTGTGACGGAGAGGCCCTAACCCGTGTGCCACAAACTCTCAAACTACCCATACAAAGGCTGACAATTGCATCAGCAGGCTTGCCACGTTTGCGTTCGACCGGTCTAAAGGTATACGCTCCCACTCTTCTCGATGTGTAAGTATTGGTAGTTGTTGTTGGTATTTATAGTAAGCTTTATGGTGCACGAACCCTTGTATTTACAGCGCTTTTATCGACTGTCTGGAACTGGAAGGCATACAGGATGGCGCATTTGCAAATTTAACTGTGCTCCGTACTATGTAAGTAAAAAAAGTTGCCTAATTACAAGTAATTCTTAATTTACGCGTTGGCATTAACACTTAAAGCTTTAATGCAACCTCGAAAAACTGCTAAAAAGGTCTTATTTACTTTGTTTTGCTTCTCTGGTTGGTGGTTTTAATAATTCCTAAAGGTGTGTGGAAAATTGTGATAAGTTGTGGGAAGGGGGGAGGGGGGAAGGGATAGATTAATCAATTTTATTTACATAAGTTTTTTATCTACATGGTCTCGGGGACCATCTTGACAGTTGGTAATTAAAACAGCAACTGGAAATCCGAAGCTTACTATCGCTTAGTACATATTTTATTATGCTCTTCATATATTTTCGGGAGCATTTCGAATGAGATGTGTACCCTATAGAATATAATAATCTTACTAGTATTAAAGTAAAGCTGCGGTCAGTCATGCAAATATTTTGCTCACTAATTTCTAATACTTAACACGTTGGCTTTAAAAAGGAAATTCCAATAAAGTTCTTTCATGTAGTAAATTATACTTTTTGTTGTTTTTGATCAAAACATTTTTTATTCATGACAAATGTGTAAATTGCGAGAATTTTGGGTCCAAACTTTTTTTCAGTCTGACCAATCCTCAAAACACTTAAGACAAAATTGATGTTGACCCCTTTACAAAGCATTGAAGGATACGAAACGAAAATTATTATTGAATCGTTATATATGTATATTTACATATATATACGAGCTTATATACATACATTTAATTCTAGAAGTTCGTTTTGTTCCAATTTAAATTTTCTGTTTTCAAAATGTTGCTTTAGTTTTTGTTTCATTAATTTATATAATTTTTTGTAAATTGTTTTTTTTTTGTTTTGCAAAATAAAATCATAACTTTCGCTTCCGAAATAATAAGTTACATATTTACATTTTGAATTGGTTTTCTCAATCGTATCTATCGAGTCTGGCGTTTCAATTAAGTCTTGTGGATTGGCTCTAGGCAAGTTAATATTGTTTTGGATGCGCGATTACATTATTGTCCAATCATTTTTGGTGTATGTGCTTGCGATCTTTATTAATAACCGATGCGCTTAAAATAATTTAAATAAATTGCATAACAGAACAAATGCAGATGCCATTGAAAGCTTTATGCGGATCTTTTGACATCACGCATCAAAAGGAATTTCCCCGTTCGCCATCGCATTTTCTCAGAATTCCTGCCCGTTTTCACTGCTGTGATTCGCCACGTATACAAAAGTGCTTTAGAAAGAATGCCTGCTTATAATTTAAATAATTTTGAATTGAATATTAAAGCTGCTTTGACTAAGTAAGCGTGTCGGCATTTGAAGTATTTTTTATATTTTGCTGTAAATTGAATTTTTCTTGTCCAATACACAAATACTTTTTCTTCTGAAACGCTAACTTAAATTAATAATCTGCTTGCACTTTTATTTTAAAGAAACTCAATACACATAGCATATGCATTTGTAATCTTGTTTTAAATATTTGTTGCAAAAACGCATTCATAATTGACTTTATTCAAAAATATTGTTAATAATTGCTTAGCCCGGTCGCCTTGTTGAAATGTTAAACAACATTTTTATCACCAACGATAATGGTTTTTGTTGACGAACTATTGAATTGATTTATTTAATGAATGTTGCTAGGTACAGGAATTCTCTTTTTTGATGAACTGTTGCAACAAAAACTATCTGTATATTACTAATTATTAAGGCTATTTAATTAACTATCTGTACTCTGCTTTAAATTTGCAGTTATATTTCGCATGCTCCCAAGCTAATGTTTCTGTCGAAAAACGTGTTTGAGGGAATTTCGGAAACAATTGAAATTATGTAAGTACAAGAAAGAAATGCTAGAGTCGAGGGAGTCTATCTCTTAAATACTCCCACAAAATATATTTTAAAAATTAGTTTTAAGCGAAATTTAATTAATAAATTAAATTAAAAGTATTCAATAAATATGTACATAAGTGGAGATATATGCTTATGTACAGTTTCAATGTTTGTGTGCGTGTATGTGTGCAGTACAGAATTAAGTCAAAGCAGGAGAGCTTGGGCAGAAATTACATTTATGGTTGTAACTTATTTCATAATTGAACACTCTCATGGTGAAACTAAACATACGGACACATGTTCATAGGTCGGATGTAATTACCAAAATTGAGGTTGAAATTCCACAAATTACAGAAGTTTTGAAAAATCACTAATAGCTAGTGAGTGGGAATTAGAAAAATTAAACAAACTTGATCTGCCTAGGGCCTGGATAAACGGTTTTGATTTAACATATGTAGTTTGAATTTTAAAAATTTTATATACGTCGTTTAACCATGTTATTACATTTGCCACGATTCAAAATAACACAAAATAAATAATTAAAACACACACAGCTGACAAATAGCTAGAAAACATTCTTATATGGGTCGTTATGCTCATTAAATACGTGATTTAATAAAATAATCATAAATCCTTGTTTTTCCACTTTTTAGGTTTTAGAGATAAAGAACGAATCACCTATTTTTGCATATGAATAAAGTCTTTTTTATACGGCTTTTTTACACGACTTTTTCTAGAACCAACCTACCATGTAAAAACAGAATTAGGTGCATACCCTTTGGGTACAGGGTATAAATATGTGGCTGATGAATGCACAAGCCACGTACATAATAAATATGAATACTATAGTCTTTGGGCTTGCGGTGTTATAATGGCCGCATAATTCCAGGAACTGCCGTTATCTGCTGTTAACTGAAAGATATCCAGCGTTTTATAGTTGCCAAGGAATGCCTTAAATACACATCAGTTTGTATGTGTGTGTGTGTACTTGTAATGTATGTATATTCTAATAGCACTATAAAAAGCTCAAATAGCGCAGACTTGTCTGCCTTTTTACATGCAGCTAGCAAAATAAGCTTCAGCGTACATTTTAATGCCGCTCGGGGCTGTGCAACAGACTCAAAGCTAAGACTAAAACGTTTTTCTTTAAACGAAATAGGTTAAAGTTGTATCATATTAGGATTACACGTGTGTGTGTATGTGTAAATGAGAAAAAATGAGGGAGAGTGCCATTTTCTATTCTGCTGACATATTCACTGAGAAGACAAAGACATCGCAGACCGGAAAAGCGAAAAGCGTTTGCGTTTGGCTTGCTGGCTTTTTTACCTTAATATTTACTTTGTCATGTCTGTAGAGTGACTTGCGTGAGGGCTACGCTGACAAGCCATTAGATTGCACATAAACAAGTAACCAAGCCAATATTGAGAGCCCCAGCCGCGCTCACTTCCACAAAATGTTGCATTGAAGTGCCCGAGACAGCCGACATACATACTCGTAAATCATATGAGTTGTTTTTATTATCTATCTGGACTATCTACCTTTAAATCTGTTTGCATAAATGAAATGTATCGAAGAGTATCTAGAGTCAACAAATTATGTATGTACGTTCTACTAAGCTTGTTCAATTATATGTTTATACCTTGTACATAAAATGTACAAGAGTACAAGTATATTAGGTTTGCGGGAGCTGAAAATGTAACAGGCAGAAGGAGGCGTGGCAGACCCCACAAAGTATATATATTCTTGATCAGCATGACGAGACGAGTCGATTTAGCCTTGTCTGTCTGTCTGTCCGTCTGTCCGTCCGTATGAACACCTGGATCTCAGAGACTATAAGAGCTAGAGACACCAAATTTTGCACAAAGATGCGTTATGTATGTACGCTGTACAAGTTTGTTTTATTTTTTTGATTTCCCCCCACTTCCCCCCTATGGGGGTTTTCCCGATTTTCCATTCGTATAATCGCCTATATCTCGGCGACTATAAGACCTAGGAACACCAAATTTTAGTCCCAGATGCCTTATGTAAATATGCAGAAAATGTGTATTTAGGAATTTTTGAAATTTTTTTGTAATTCTCTTACTTTTTTAATTTCTATAATTATTCTAAACATATGTACAGAGTATTTCAAAGTCGGGACACCCGACTTTAGCTTTTTTACTAGTTTTAATAAGAATCTGTAGATTTAGGAATATTTCTCGCATAATTGTCACTTTTTGCTCTGCAGAGCTTGCATAGAGGGTATAAGATAGTCGAGCAATCCAATTATTGCAAAAACGATTAATTTATTTTGTTTTCCCTCTTTTATTTTACCCATAGACGTATCATTAACAGCGGGTTGACTCAAGTGCCGGATCTAATGCACTTGCCGCCCTATAAAATATTACGAATGATGTAAGTACGCTGTTACATTTAAGCAGCTTTAAGAACATTTCTTGTACTTATATTGCCGCATGTAATGCAGAGAAAATATCCTTTAATTGTCTGTTTATTGTGGCTGAGTGTCTACAGATGTTGCTAGGGACTGAAAAACAATGCCTTCACATAAGCCGATAACTGTAACAGTCCCAAAAACATTTTATTCCGTAAGATACTTAGAAGCCTGACATTTTTCCCAGCCAATCATACTTAACGCATACTTATTTATGTAAAGACAAAATTGTAGTGCGTAAGAAAAATGAGTTTTCTATTAAATTTAATTCCTTCGTTGCAGAGATCTCGATAATAATCAAATATCTCAAATAGATACTAAATCTATTAAAGTGAAGACTGCGCAATTGTAAGTACTTATGACGAAAGCTTTCTGAATTACTTCACTTCGAGAGTAATTTGATAAACGTTCGTTTTTCTCATTAGAATTTTAGCAAATAATGAAATAAAGTACATTGATGACTCGGCATTTTTTGGTTCGAAAATAGCAAAGCTGTAAGTAACGTTTATTCGACCTCTGTATTTTCCATAGCATATTTAATAAACATACTTATTGGTGTTTGCAGCTCATTAAACGATAATCGCAAGCTCAAAGAACTCCATCCCAACGCATTCCATGGAATAATAGATATTACTGAACTGTAAGTCTATAATTAAATATTTTAATTACGCTCAGGCAGTAAATTTAATATACACTTTAATCATTTCCAATGTGTTTTAATTTTATAATATTTTTGCAATATTAATCTTTATAAGATATTGGTTTATGTAAAATACTTTCTTACTTTCTTGCATACTTACTTATTTATTTGCTCGCTTGCATACTTACTTCGTACTTGCTTACATACTTACTTATCTGCGTACTTACTCGCATAGTTACTTGCTTACTTACTTGCATACGTACTTGCATACTTACTTGCATACTTACTTGCATGCTTACTTGCTTACTTACTTGCATACTTACTTGCTTACTTACTTATGCCAAAATACGTTTACCTATCATTTAATGCTTGTGGTTGAAACAAGTTAGGAGGTAGTTTATGATTATTACTTAAAGGTATTCTTGTAATATTTCCAATCCCTAATATAATTGGCTTACCATTTCATTTTGCAATATGAACGTCATTTATGGGGACAAGTAACATATATGTCAATTTTGGTCCCAATATAAGCAAATGGAGGTAGAGAAGTACAAGTATAAGGAACGTAGTTTCAAAGATAAGTAAGACAGACAAAACAGCAAAAGAGACATGGCAGATCCGTCTACTTATCGGAAATGATGACGATTTTCGCAAAATTTATAATACTGTTAACCTGCCCTTGCAGTGATCTCTCCAGCACTTCATTAGTGAGTCTACCCTCGGCTGGGTTGCAGACCATTGAAGCTCTATATATAGAAAAAACACACACTCTGAAAACCATACCATCCATTTACAACTTCCAGGTAAATAATAATCCAGTAATAATAGGTAGCCTGTTGGCTGTGGCCAATTTTTCAATAGAGCACATGTCCATTTCACAGAATCTACAACGCGCCTATTTAACTCACTCGTTCCATTGTTGCGCATTCGAGTTCCCCTCCCGACACGATCCCCAAAGGCACGCCCAACGCATGCAGGAAGTGGAAAAATGGCGAACTCAGTGTGGCAGCGGCAGCAGCGACGCACGCCAGCAGGAAAGTCCGCCACCTATGCAGCCCGTGGGGCACGTGAACAGCCAATCCGATGTTTATTACCGGTAAGCTAATGAGCTGCAGGTCTGGCCGAAAGGTCTGCACTCAAATCATGTTCTTGAATCGAACTTTAACTCTCGAATTTTAAATCTCGACTGTAGACGTCTGAAACGTTCGAAGGACGATTCGTTGCTATTGGTGCACACAGATGTTGATGTTGCAAAGGAGTTTCCACTGAGCTCCTATGATTACATGTCCGGCGCCACTTTAAACAATATCGGAGTATTCCACGAGGAAATTACAATAAATCCAGAGGACGAGCAGTTGGCCGAGTATTGCGGCAACTTTACGATACGGTAAGTTGTAGGTTTTAAAATAAGTTTATTTGTGAAAACAAAATGAAGGTCGAACAATTTTCCACATAATATATTACATTTTAGCTGTACAATAAGAAACCGTAAGCTAAACATTTTCTAAAATTAATTGCTCCTACTATTATATATATATATATATATATATATATATATATATATATATATATATATATATATATATATATATTATATTATACTATTTTATAATTATTTGTTGCTATAATGTCATCTATCTTTAAATATTTTCCCAAAATATCTAATATTGGAATCCAAATCTTTTTCGAAGATTTCACTAAATGTTGACAAATATGATTATTAATAGGCCCGTCAGTTTTCGTATACTTGTTGTCCAAATGATAGCTGAGTTAAAAAAAAAAACCCTAATTTTAAAGAACTGATTATTTTGAGTACTTTCTAATTTTTAAAAATCCCTGTTACCCCAGTTTTAGTTACTTACCTACAGTAGCTGTGTAAGGTTATGAAAGTCTTGCAAATTTTACAAACTGAATTGTATAGAAAGCTCTGATTCGAGCCTGATTTCCCCCATTTGTGGGTTGATTTGTTAAAACACATATCTATAGTATAATTATTTCGGATGAAGGCTCAATTATTTATTAGGTTATTATTAGTAAATTAATTAATTTTTTGAGTTCTGGCAGAGCTGGCAGAGTTTCATGTTAACTGTAGGTTACTGTATTTTTGGAAGAATTGCCTTTTTGGCATTAATGAAAAGCCCTTACATTTCCCATTCGCAGAAAAACGAAAGTTGAATGCTACCCGATGCCAAATGCTCTCAATCCCTGTGAAGATGTCATGGGCGTGCAATGGTTGCGTATTGCTGTTTGGATTGTGGTTGCCTTGGCCGTGGTAGGCAACCTGGCAGTACTCACGGTTATATTATTGACCAAGTAAGTCACAGTAGAGCATGCGAATCAATGAATCATATTTGTAAGGCCTGTTGTTTGGTTGTTCCTTTCTTTTCAATTCCAGACCAGAGGCGCCATCAGTACCACGCTTTCTAATGTGCCATTTGGCATTTGCTGACCTATGCCTGGGCGTGTATTTGTTGCTTATTGCCTCCATAGATGCACATTCAATGGGCGCCTATTTCAACCACGCGTACGATTGGCAGTATGGTAAGTAGAAAGCCCGTCATTCAAACTTTCCGTTCCACACTGATTTCGATTTTTCTGCTGTGTTCAGGTGCGGGCTGCAAGGCCGCTGGCTTTCTGACTGTGTTCGCCAGTCATTTGTCAGTCTTCACGTTGACTGTCATTACCATCGAGCGCTGGCTGGCTATAGCACACGCAATGTATCTGAATAAACGCATTAAGTTGCGCCCTGCTGCATACATAATGGTTGCCGGTTGGATTTACTCAATCATTATGTCATCGTTGCCGTTATTCGGAATTAGCAATTACTCATCAACCAGGTGGGTATACGATGCTGAGTGGGCTTTATTATTAGACTTGACTTCTTCACTGGAGTTAGTCAACAATTATTTTGATTATATTGGATGGATGGTTACGGCGGAAGAAAAATATCGATAAATGTAGACATGTACCTCCGTCCGTTCGGCTGTGTGTCCACATGAATACCGAGAACTTTTGAGCTATAATAGCTAGGGACACCAAACGTTGCCCTTAGAGCAAAAAGATTACGAACCTTATATAGCATAATTATTTTATTTTGAACACCGATTGTGAAAATAGTCTGGTATGATATTTTTATACCCTGTACCCAAGGGGTACAAGGGTATATTAGTTTTGTGCGAGTGTACATGTCACACACAGAAGGAGGCGTGGCAGACTCCACAAAGTACATATATTCTTGATCAGCATGACAAGCCGAGTCGATATAGCCATGTCCGTCTGTCCGTCTGTCTGTATGAACGCAAGGATCTCAGAAAGTATAAGAGCTAGAATTACCAAACTTGGTATACACATTCTCCTGAGCCCGAGAAAGGATGAGTTTGTTCATTTTTTCCGATGCACCCCCCCACTCCCCCCCTATTCAATATTTTCTATAACTCCCGTAATTTTTGGAATTTTGAATTAAACTTAACACATCCGATTATATATCCGTACACCAAGTTTCATTATGATAGGGTAATTAGAAAGAAAGTTATAGCCATATAACCAGGCCAATGCACACATAATACATACAAGTATGTACAAGTACACCAACGCACATAGACACGATTCTGATGTAAATGTTAATGTACGTATGCATGTATGGAATAATTTATATTTAATTTAGTTAATTAATTTAATTTAGTTAATTAATTAAATTAATTTAATTAAATTAATTAATTAATTAAATTAATTTATTTTTTTGTGGGGTGGTACAGGGTATTTAAGAGTTGAGCCTGCTCGGCTTTAGCATTCCTTTCTTGTTTCAGTTCATAATATGTATAGTGATGAGAGGTAGTCCTGTAATATTGTCAGCCATAAGGACTATCTGATCCTTAAGTTGTCAGTCTATTTATACACAAACAAGATGAGGTTGTTGTCGATGAATTTTTCAATCATTAATTTACTTGTTTGGTACTTCTAATGTTCTTTAAAGACGGTTCTTTGATTTGTTTAACAAAAAATACTATTGATGAGTTTGGCGTCGTAGCAGAAATATCCTTCGTGTGTTAAGCAACTACAAGTAATTTATTGTTGGTGTCGCGCAAAATGAATAAATTAGTAGTTGACATTATCTTCCCCTTAGTACCAAAATTTTGTGTAATATCAAAAATGTCTATGCCTTGATCCTTTATTTCAAGTGCCGGTCGACTTTGTTGATTTATTACAGAAGGCCATTCTGTCTGAATGTCGTTAAGTGCAGATCTCAAATCATTGAATGATAAATGCTGAAAAGCGTCATTTAATTTCTAAAATGTATCTTACCACATTTTCTGACATTTTTCAGTATTTGTTTGCCCATGGAGGATCGCGATGTATTTGACACTGTTTACTTGATTGCCATCTTGGGTTGCAATGGAGTGGCTTTTTCGATAATAGCTATATGCTATGCTCAAATATATTTGTCCTTGGGTCAGGAGACGCGTCATGCGAGACCAAACCATCCGGGTGAGATGGGTGTTGCCAAAAAGATGGCCCTGCTGGTGAGTTGAAAACTCCATTCATTTATTAGGTGATAAATGACAGATTGCTGTTCCTTTTTTTCAGGTCTTTACTAACTTTACGTGCTGGGCACCTATTGCATTCTTTGGTCTGACAGCTTTGGCTGGCTATCCGCTTATTAATGTTACTAAATCCAAAATATTGCTTGTGTTTTTCTATCCCCTAAATTCGTGTGCAGATCCTTACCTCTATGCCATATTAACATCACAATATCGTCAGGATCTGTCCGCCTTGTTGTCCAAGTAAGTCGTTGGCTCTGCACATATCATTCGGGTCCATAAGTAACTAACTATTACCTCTCCCTGCATGTCCTTGTAGAATAGGATTTTGTCGCCAGAGCGAATTGAAGTACAAGCACAGCGAATCCTTACATGGCACCACACATTTCACCACACATGGCTCTATGCAACGCCACAGCTCGCTAACAGCTAAGATACAACATGGCCTGATCACTGAAACACAATGTATGCTGAAGAACCGGGAGGATTATGTCTAAGCAAATGTGAAAGAGTTCTTTACCTGAAAGACCAACGGAAACTGTTGCTGTGGGCGTCTAACAAATTGTTTTGTTTGTGTACGCCATTATACTCTTTAAAATCTAGTTATTCCTAATCTGCATAGTTGTATGTTTATATTCGTATTCCTATTGCTATGCATTGTCTATGTGTGATATCGTTACTTGTTAGGCTTAACAGATTACTAATCTATTTAGCTCTCTATTTGCAGCCATGTTAGTTTGATACGCCCTCTATTATAATTATAGTATTCTGAACAGTCAGTATTCGTAATTATCATTATTTTTAAGGCGCACAGTAGTAGTTTTTGAGGGGTCGAACCCAAAGCTCCACTGTAATTTTGAAGGACCTGGTAGTATGTGCAAAAAATGTTAATCTTGCTGGCAAAGGAGACATTTTAAGTTAATTAATTGCTCTGTCGAAAAGAAATTGAGATTTCCAGATATTTCCATTGATGTGAAAACAAATGCTTTCAATCGAGAAGATATGTATTTCCCAAAAATATACTGGATGTAATGTAATGTAATTTAATAAATATTTAATGATAAATGTTTTCAAAAGATTATTGAGGCATCTCAGATAGTTTGTAAATTGTCCATTTATGTAGCCCATATATTAACAGGATCCACAAATTATTGTTTGATATTCAAATATGCTAAAAAGTTGAAATACTATATGTTGAAAATTGGTTACAATAATTTTTTTCCATTATCTAAACTTGAAGTCTTCTAACTTTACATTTATTATTATTGGAAATATATGTAGTTATTCTAAGCATAAGCAACTATAGCATTACCCATTGAATAAATATTTGAGTCCCTTATTATATACATGACGTGTGTGACCTAAACTACTAAATAACCACATATTTGTCGCTTACAGAAAATATAATAACTATGTATTTTGATGTTTGTATAAATGTTGTAAGAGCTCGATATAAAATCTATAAAAACAACAAATAAAATTTGTTTAAATATCACATCCAAAGTGTATTGTTGCTGTTAAAAGTTATTTTGGCGCCCCCTGGCGTTGAGCTTCTATAATAGTAAATGGCAGCACGGCTTCCAACCAGTTATGGCCGGCCATTTTGAAGAATGCCAAACTGTAGCAAGTTTTGGAGGAACTGGGCACGCATTTGAGCTTTCTAGTGGAAGTCAACAGTGTTCCAGGTTTGTGCTTTCTGGAAATGGAACAGAAATATTGGCTTAAGGAACAACAGGTGGTATATTCTTGAATGTTGTACTTGTAGCTGAAAAATAAAGCTAAGCATTTTAAAAGTTGGTGGAAGGTAAAGCGAACTCTTTTTCATGTTGTGAAGAAATACATTTCACAGTCTTCTAATTCAACTATTAAGTTCTTTTTTGACTTAAATGGAAGTAAGAGTAAAACGCTATAATCAAGCCAAATCCTTTGGCAGGTAAATGATAAACAAAGCTTTCGCTTATATCATTACCACAATCGACAAAAAAGTCTCCCTAGCAAGATATATATTTAAAAAGATACATGACTTGTAGTTGACTTGCTTTGCGTATAAATAAGACAAGTTAACATAACATGTTTGGTTCTCCTAGCTGTTGTGGTTCATAAGTTTTGAAGAGTGATCTGGCAGACGGACATGTCTCATCTTATTGACTCGATACTTACGTATAATGGAATATATCATTCGGCATATAAATGCTCCAAGTCTGCTTCTGATATTACATTAACTCTCCGTTTATACGTGTTCATATATTTCACCAACACAGCTTTGGAGTTAAATTAAAGTTAATTTCTCATTTAAGCCATTCCACCATGAAGCCTTGTTATAAAATGATATGAAGAACTTCACTAGAATTGAAATTAGTAATTCCCAAACATCATAATAAAAACTTAATGGCCTAAGAGCTTAGGGTTAACATTCTAGTTGTGGGTGTAAATTGGGCTTGTTGTGCGTGATACGTTGTGGCAATTCCAACATTGCCGAAAATAACACAACTTTTTCATCAACTTAGCAGACACGCGGCGCCTGATGACTAGCTTTGTATTTTCCAAATATGAATACAAAGTGTCGCTACAAATATATATGAGTAGAATAAGCTTCTAATACGCTCACCTTTTGTGGCGGAGTTCGTTCACCTAACGAAGTGACAAAGCTAATTTGAATTAATTTGTTTTAAAGAACTTTTACTTTGAAGTATGTGGAAACCGGAAATAGGTGAGGAGTGCCGCTTGTTGGAGCTCTGGAAGGCAATAATTAAAATCCGATTATAGAATTTCATTTTGTTCCGCTACAGGACACGCATAACAATTGGCCAAGTGCTGGACATGCCAAGTAAATATGTATCTATGTATGTATATGCTGGAGTGCTAACGTATTCCAAATGCGATTATTGGGAAAAACAGGCACAGGAATTTAAGGCATCTGCTTTAGTCCCATACTTGTCCGTACTACTCCTCCACTAGCTATTATGTAGGTTTATTTAAGAGCCGTTTAAGTTTATGTGTTTAGTAATTAAAAGCTCGACTGCTCATAAAATGAAAATTTATTAGCGTTGTTTAAGCGAATCCTCGTGTGTTTGCTGTAAACATAGTTACGAGTATCTATGAGTGTGGCTGAACTGCGTGGGCATTTATGTGGGTGTGTGCCCAATGGGACTAGTTTTTGATGAAATTCCGTCTGAGCCTGTTCGGCACACACACACACACACACACACACACACACACACACACACACACACACACACACACACACACACACACGCACACGCACACGCACACAAATATACCCGGAGGTGGTTTGTTGACTGTTGTTGCTCTATAAATCCCTGTGGACTTTTAATGTTCTTAATTGGAGGTGACGCCACTAAAAACTGGCTCAATCGATTTTTTTTTTTTGATCACAATATCTGAGCCATACTTGGCCTTAATGAATGTAACAATAGACACCTCCCACACACACTCTCCCATTCACACGCACCCACTTGGGTTGCATTATTACCCGCATACTTTATCAATTAGACTAAAGCTATTTGCAATTCATTTTTTACATGCGAGTACGAGTAGTGTGCGCGCATCGCTGAGTTTGTTTGCACAGTACACGTGTTGCCTTATATATATTAATTACCATCAAATTGCTTGATGTGTGATTTTATAGGTGATGTGGGGCGAGAGGGTGTGAGAGCATACTGCAGCGCTGCTTTTATTGAAATGGCAAAGGGCTTTGGCAGTTGACAGAGTGCCATATTAGATAGGGCAGAGGGCAGCCAATCAAACAGCTCAATTAGTTGCAGACACAGCAGCATGTGAATGTGAAAAGTTTACAGTTCGACCCTTATCACTTCTGAAAGGCTCATAAAGGACCATCAATATGCTTATAAATACACATATGTAAAGCGCCTAAGTATTTAAACAAACGAGCAAACGCAAAGAGCACAGTGTTACGTTTATAGCAAGTATTGTTAGAAAAGTTAGAAAAATCAAAAGCAATTTAAAACTGAATCTTCACATATATTTTTGGCTGCTTTTTAATTAATTTGTAAAAAGTTCTGACAGTTTTATTTAACATTTGTGAAAGGTTAATCCTAAAAGTGTGCTGCACAATAAACATTATGTTTTCTGAAATGTACATCTATGCATACAATTTATTAAACCAGTATTCTGCTACCATATGGCAGCTTAAGCTAGTTGAAAATTAATGGGCAATATATATACAAGTATGTACAAGTATATGTATATTTACAATATTTTAGATTAAATAGGATGTATTCTATATATTTCACACAAGGGATCTCATGGGGAGATCCTTTGTTTGGCACTTCTTCAGTCTTCTTTTCCTGGGTATGGAGAGCAGCTGTCTCGCTAATGCTTTAGGGTACCGAGGCGCTTCCGGTAATTGCCTGCGTGCTCTCGAAGGACATCGCCCACCTTGGCAACGCAGAAGTCCCTTTAACATTATGTTAAATATACTCCATATACATACCTATACTTAATTTTGTTGACTCCTTAATGATTTTTATGGTGTCTATATATTTTGTTATCCTTTCCCAGAATCTTGAAATGCGATCCGAGAAAGTGTTTTATTCTTAGTTCCAATTGTGTTTTATGTTTGGTTTTTTTTTAACAGGCTAATATTATGCAAAAGATTCGATATAATGTAAATAATTTAAATATGAATAAAAAATTACACATTTGCCAAAATATTCCCAAAATTGTCATCTCATTATCTGTAAAAAAAATATGTTGTAAAAAATATCGTTGAAATGAAACATTCTATTGGTAGATGCTCCAGCTTCTAGCAACGTTTCAGGACTATCTCGCAGTTTGTGATTTGGCTAAAATATGTCTCTGAACCGAGAACAAATGAAGAAATCGTTTCAATAATAATTCAAAAGCAACATTGTACACAAGATGTGTTTGTTATTATTATTATAATTTTTTTAATGTCACCCTGAACGACCAAATATAATTTTTCTTTTGCCTTCTACTACCAAGGGTAATTCAGGATACATCAGCTTCAGCATATTTCACATATTTCAAGTTTATGACCAAAGGGACAATATCTTTTGGAACGGAAATTCAGACGAGAAGCGCGATGGTAACTTCTGGTGAATAATTAAGTCGATTTCGTAGTGACGTACATAGATACATAGATGGGTTTTAATTATTAGAGTGAAAATTTGAACTCCTTGACAAAGTTTCAAAAAGTATTTAATATGTTATTTAAAAACGAAACGTATGTAGCTAGCTACATTTGGATCTCATTCCTATGAGAGAAGTCCAATGTTAAGTGTAACAATTTCGGCTCGTTCCGATGGAAAATAGAAGCAAGACCTGCTAAACAATAAAAAGCCGCCCTCATCGTTGATTTCGATTTAAATTTCGTTTTAGCCTATATCTTTAAAATAAAGTTAAGTAAGACCAGTCGAAAAACGAACTTCGAATAATTTTAAGCTTTGTGTCAATTAATATCAAAAGCATGCGAGATGTAAACAATATATATGTACATATGTATGTATGTAGTATCACTCTAAAATAGGGGTAGAGAGAGAGAGAGAGAGAGAGAGAGAGAGAGCAGAGTGTTAATTAGACAGTCCGTTTTTATACCCTGTACCCAAAGGGTACAAGGGTATATTAGTTTTGTGCGAGTGCACATGGAACACACAGAAGGAGGCTTGGTAGACCCCACAAAGTATATATATTCTTGATCAGCATGACAAGCCGAGTCGATATAGCCATGTCCGTCTATCCGTCTGTCTGTCTGTCTGTCTGTCTGTATGAACGCAAGGATCTCCGAAAGTATAAGAGCTAGAATAACCAAACTTGGTATACAGATTCTCCTGAGACCGAGAAAGGACGAGTTTGTTCATTTTTTCTGATCCACCCCCCCACTCCCCCCCTATTAACGATTTTCTATAACTCCCGTAATTCTTGGAATTTTGAACTGAAATTTGGTAGACACATCCAGTTAGTAATTATATATCCGTATACCAAGTTTCATTATGATAGAATGATCGGAAAGAAAGTTATAGCCATATAACCAGGCCCAATGCACACATACATACATATGTACAAGTACACAAACACGCATAAGGCAGGATTCTGATGTAAATGTAAATGTATCTATGCATGCATGGAATATTTTATATTTAATTTGGTTAATTAATTAAATTAATTTAGTTAAATTAAATTAATTAATTAATTTAATTAAATTAATTTAATTATTTTTTTGTGGGGTGGTACAGGGTATTTAAGAGTTGAGCCTGCTCGACTTTAGCATTCCTTTCTTGTTTGTGCTAAG